ACCACACCCCTTCTCATTACAGAGATGCACATCACCTAATATGCTTAATTGGTAGTAGGCTTTTGAGCCTATACAGCTTGGAGTAAGACAAGATGCATGAAGAGGATGATGTGGACAAAATACTCATTTGCCTAATAATTCTGCACTCCCTGTATGGAGCTGGTGGGTAACCGATGTCTTGGAAAACGTCGGAGCACGTTTGGAAATATGTGATATCTTGATAAATCGAGCAGATATTTGAAGCTTACACAGCTACATTCTCACTTCAAAATAACTTAAAATTTTATTTTGTGACCCAGAAAGAGTACTATTTAAAAGTTTTAGCTGCACTCCTCTGCCATTGCCGCGTTTGGGTTCTGGACTGATGATGTATTACGAGTACATGAGAATGCAAGTACGCACAAGTACGCATATTGAGACCTTGTGTATTTCTTTATTGACAAACATCTCCGATGGTAAAGTGTTGGAATCTCATTCTGGACTCATTTCCTTCCTTCCTTATTTCCTTCTTCCTCCTCGTGTGCTTCACTCAGCAGGTGTAAATCACCTTCTAAATGAGGTGAAAATAAATCTGAGTTTGTTTCTTTACATTAATCTGGAGTGAGCCTCATCTGTGACACAGATTATAATCTTTTTTTATTAATTCATTGTTTTTCTTTTCTACGTTTATTCTTTTAAATGTTTTTAACCTGTCAGAACGGCTCCTTGTTTTACAATAGTATGAAATGTCAGACTTCAGGGGAAACTTGTCCTTCAGAGCCATTGTGTGTTTATCACTGCATTCAGGGTTCAGGTTCATGGATGGGAAATCTGCGGCTCACTTTGCTTCAGGTCTGAAACTGATCAGCGATCCCAGGGGAACATCGAGAACGATCAGCACTGATGATCATGCAGAAAGATGCAGGGGATTCTTTTAAAGAACAGGTTTTTATTCATGGCAGTGAAGAAGAAACTGGAACTTTTCCATCAATTACTAGTTCATGCATTACTTGATGAGGTTTTTCTCAGAGACTGGAAGGCCAGCTCTGTAGTTCTGATGCATAACGACGCATCACGCAGAAAAGCTGAACCTCTGTGAACATTTTACCATCAGCAGTAAAACTTCAGACACACACATCTGATTACACAGTTTACCTGCTTTGTTTTATTTATTTATTTATCCTGGATATGATGAGCTGCACTGAGCTTGTGTTGTTCTGTTTACAGTTAAATAAAGACTTGAATCCTCTTAAAATCATCACTTTCTGTTTTTATTTACAATCATTTTATTTACGCAGCATCACAGCTTTGTCACATGTTCGTCGGTTTAACGTCCATTTCTTCTCACGGCGCTCGTATCCAACTGTTCGTTAGTGGTCGATGACTCCGTCCGCTCGGTCGACACGTTTAAATAAAGCTTTTTTTGAACACGCTACTCGCTGTCCCATGACAGTCGTTTGAGGGCTCCTCCTGTGTGGACGACGGTGAGGCCACAGGTCGCTGCAGCATGACGTCACCGTAGAAACACCATGGTAACAAGACCTGCGAGACAACCACAGCATCACTGCTTCATTCTCTACCTCCTCATTTCCTTTTCTGCCTCCTTCTTTGTATGTTTTTATGTACTTCTGAATCTTCAACTTCTCGTTCCCTTATCCACCATCTCATTTCCTTTTCTACCTCCTTATCTCCTTCGTTTTCCCTCCAACTACATTCTTGTTTCCTTTTCGTTCCTGCCCTTCTCTCCTAATTCCTTCTCTATATCTAGTTTCTTTTCCGCTTCCTTATTTCCTTTTCTATTTTCTTGTTTGCTTCTTTATCTCCACATTTCCTTCTGAGACTCCTTCCTTTCTGCTCTGACTTCTCATTTCCTTAACTGTCC